CGTGTGGATGACAGGCCAAAACGTAGAAAAATATCTACGCTTTGGCAGATCTCCGGCTACGTGTGGACAGGACCTAAGTTCTTAGTTTTTGATTAAGTTCTGCTCCAACACACCTGTGCTTGATGACCAGCTGAACAGGTGATCTGGTCATTGAATCAGGTGTGTTGGAGCAGAGAAACTACTAAAAGAGGCCCTCAAGGACCAGGGATGGTGAGCTCTGAAGGAGATTGTAGAGCTGGAAGGGGATCAGGTGCGGGATTTTTTTATTTTGAAATCTGGGATTACTCAGTCTTGTTTTTAACGTTCTGTTCTCTGACTGGATGAAATCCTCATGTGTTTGATTCTATTATGAAACACTAATCAGAGACTGTCGAAGCCTCTTTGTGATCTCGAATCGGACCAGCAGCTCAGAACAAACGTGTCCATCTCCCACGAGGCGAAGCCAGGAGACTCTCTGCGAACACTCTGACCTGTTTTCTTCAGCAGAACTCTGAGAGAATTCAGTTGAACATGTGAACGCTGGCTGATCAGACCGGTCAGTAAACGGTCATCGTGCAGAGTCAACGTCCTAGAGAATGCTCTCTTTGTGGCGATGGATCCGTTGGTCCTGTGGGTAGTCTCTCATTAGAGGATGGCGTGACAGGAAGACCTCCAGCGTGGACGCAGTCTGCTTCAGATTCTGTCAGAACATCGCATGTCCATGGTAAACAGGAAGCGTAACAATGCCTCGACATGCGCGCCTCATTTAGCGTTCAGTGCTGCAGCAAATGAACACCATGCTGGGAGTTCGAGCCTCATTATTTCACATGTGAGCTCGTGTTGATGGTGAATCACACTGGCGAGCTGATGATGAGCTGATGACTGGCCCCAGCGGGTTTAAATATCAACCCGATACTTTTAAAGGAGGGTTTGACCGAACCTGAATCCTGGTTCTGTCCAGATCCACCATGTTGGGTCCATCATCATTATTTTCGCTGTCAGCCAGATAAAAGCTCGTCACATCCTTTTAAACTGATGTGACAGCATTAGAAGATAAAAGCTCAGAGTTTTCCGCAACGAATCGGTAAAAACAGGTGAAACTCAAATCATTTCAACGCTGAAGTCCTTTTATTTTATTTTCAGAGAATTATCGCCAAGCTTCGACGCCTCCTCAACGGTCCCCTGTTGACACGGTGGAGCAGCGGCTCCTCGCTGAGTCTCTCAAACGTTCGAGCTCTTCACCCTTTCTCTGAGGCTGGTCCCGGCCACCTGACAGGGGAAACTCATTTCGGACGCTTGTGTTGTTGACGTTCTTCCATCGTCACTCGAAGCTCATGGCTGGAGGTTATATGTTATACGACAGGGTGGCAGAGGCCTCGGCGTTCCGATCCCCAGCATCTACATGTGGCGTTTACAGTCTGGTTTTGATAAGAAAATCTAGATGTTGAGGACTTTTACGATTTTTTGTTTCCTTTTTTAACTTTCATATGTTTTATAAATAAACGAATAGAAAATACCAGGAGTGAAATATTTGTCTTCTAACAAACCAGTAAAGCAGCTTTAGGTCTTCTCACTGATCAGCTCTGTGTTTTTTGACCTTTTCAGACACGTTCCCTGTCTGATGTTTCTTCACCTGGTGATTATTGTGAGTTTACATGGATGTCGGTACAGCTAGCTGCTGTTAATCCGGCAAGCTTCGTTAATCTTCAGTGCCCCCCATGTTGTTGTTGTAGAACCATCTCACTGGGAGCTAATGGTTTAATGAGGGTTAAGTGACATCTAGTTTAGCTTCATGTGAAAGCCTCCTCTGTTTTGGACTCTTCCTCAGAGCTTCCTGACCCCACATCCTGTCGGACCGTGCTGCGGGTCAGAATGCTCCGAGGTCTCAGGAAATGAGGGAATCCTCTCTGCTGATTACTCAGTGGGTAATCTGAGTAGTCCTCAACCCCAGGGCTTCCAGAGTCTGCACCTGTGACACGCCGTCCACAATCCTGTTCCTTAATGTCTTTGCTGTCCGGCCAGCTCCTGTGTTTCTGTCTGTTGAGGATTGAAAGGTCACGATCTGTCTGAGGCCTTAATCTGGTCACAAAGTTCACTGAAAACTGGTTGCACCGTGACACAACCTGGAGAACAAGCGCAATCATGGACGTAATTTTCACTTTAGAAGTAGGGGGGGACAAAGGGGGGTGGGGGGTATCTTTACAGTATGCTCTAATGGGAAACAGGCTTCAACACAAACGGTTGTTTTCCACTTGGTCCTAGAGCTCAACCAGTGTTAATTTAATATAGCGTAATATTGCTTTTGGATGGTAAAAAGTGCAGGGGTCAAAACTTGACTTTGGAAAAAGTGTGTGTGTGTGTGTGTGTGTGTGTACCCCCCCCCCCCCCCCCCAATAAATTACGTCCATGAGTGCAATGTCACTAATAATATACAATCACTCAAAGTGGGAATGCACTCAGTATGTTAATAAGCTGCTGGTAGAATGAATGAATGCCTTGTGGGTTGTTCTCCGTGGAAAGACAGCTGGAGCCTGTTTCAGGAAGCAGAAGTTTGTTGGAAGAGTGGGAGAGCGGAAAATCGAATTGGGAGTCTTGCTCATTAATATTTATGATATTCGAACGTTTCACCTCCGATTGGGGATGAGTCCATGAATGTAAATTTTACAGCGTGACGTAGAGCTGTGTGGCCTCTTCTGACCTGAGCTTTTTCCATCTGTTTTCTTTTGGTGGCTAACGCAGGAAACGGGCGTCAAAGACCATCTTTCTGTTCAGCTTGTTTCATTTGCTATCAACAACCTCCACTTTGAAACAGGATATTCCTCAAAAGAAAACAAATGTTAAAGAGAACACATAATTCACCATCTGTGTTCACTACTAACTCATCACCAACCCATTAACTCACCAGCTGGCTAACAGCAAAAGCAAGTCAAAGGGTTGGCTTGTTGGCTGCAAACAACAACACATGTTCTTCCAGTCAGGATAACCGTCAGAGACCTGCACGGCTCCCCTTCATGTCCCATGACCCTGCTCCAGAGACAATCGGCTAAAATGATTTGGTTTGTGTGAACTGCAATACGTATTATTAATAAGGCAGATTATTTGGCACATACACATCTGTCGTTTTAAAAATCACATGTTAAATTTAACAATTTAGTTTACTATAAAATAATGTAAATAATGTATCAAGCTAAATTAAAGTTACTTCCGCAAAGTCTACAAAAGTTTTTCTCTCTGTGTGTGTGTGTGTGTGTGTGTGTGTGTGTGTGTGTGTGTGTGTGTGTGTGTGTGTGTGTGTGTGTGTGTGTGCGCGCGTGTGTCTGCTCTGTCTTTCCGATCCCCAGTGAAGCTTGGTTTATGCTTGACGCATTCACTTTTCGCTTGGTGATGCGGCTTGAAGATGGAACGCGCTTCACAACTTGCAGCGTTTATGATTCATGCGGCTCGTCTCTGCGGTGAGCCAATATTCTCCCAAACTGTAGGGGGCAGCATGGAGCTCTACAGCATGCATCCAACACTACACCATGGTAGAAGTAAAAATTACTGTTTACAACATGGCATTTCAGCATTTTTTAACAGCGTCCTCGTCTTTTCCGACAGTGCGAGCTATTTCTCTCCAAGAATTATTAACAACATGTTGATCACGGTGATCTCTGAGAGCTGAATCATACAAATGTCTGTATTTACGAACCTCTGCCATACTAGTTCTTGCCGGTCCGCCATGTTTTTCCGTGTCCGACCGTCTGCGTGATTAGAAAATTTCTTAGGTGTGCGTTGCGGAAATTTTGTGCCGTGCAGAGGTGCGTGGTTGTTAAAATGACGCAATTTCGCCGCGCGGAGCCGTGCGGACCTCGTCAAGCATAAACCCAGAGCCTGATGAGCTGCTGCACAGGTGATTCAACCAGTTAATCAAGTGTGTTGGAGAAGAAAAACCACAAAACCTGCTGGATACCGGCCCTCCAGGACTAGGATTGGGCACCCCTGCTCTGGAGGTTTCTTCCTGTTAAAAGGGAGTTTTCCTCTCCACTGTCGCTAAATGCTTGCTTAGTATGAAGATTGCTGTAAAGTCAGTGACACTATGCAATTTGCTGGGTTCCTTAGATAGGAAACATTTTTTCTGATTGGCTTAATGAACTGGCCTGTATTGGAATGTTTATTATGTGAAGTGCCTTGAGATGACTCGTCGTGATTTGGCGCTATATGGTAAATGGCGTGTATTTGATATAGCGCCTTCTAGAGTCCTGGTACCCCTCAAGGCGCTTTACAACACAACCAGTCATTCACCCATTCACATACTGGTGGTGATGAGCTACAATGTAGCCACAGCTGCCCTGGGGCGCACTGACAGAGGCGAGGCTGCCGAGCACTGGCGCCACCGGTCCCTCCGACCACCACCAACAGGCAACATGGGTTAAGCATCTTGCCCAATGACACAACGACAGCGACAGACTGAGCGGGGCTCGAACCTGCAACCTTCCGATTACGGGGCGAGCATATATAAATAAAATTGAATTGAATTTTTTTCTTGTGTAGAAACCAAGTGTGATTTTAGAGATAATAAATGTATCGTTCCTCTGGCAAAAAAGGAGGACATGTATTTCTGTGGTGGGGGTTAAACTATGGAATAATGCCAGGGTAAATGTAAGAACCTGTGTTACATTTGTTGTTTAAAAGGATGTTTTGAAAGATAATTGTTGACAGTAACAAGAGTTTAAGTAGTGTTGTAAATGTAAGAGTATTGTGAACTTATGACTAAATGGTGTACGGTATAGTTCTTTTGTTTTGCTTAAATTGTACAGATTTATATGTTAAAGGGGTAGATTAATTTATTTAAAAAGACCAGCATTTTGCGTCAGCCTGAGCCTTTTCAGTCACTTTAAATGTAATGTAATGTTTTATTGTATTATGTTTTGACTGAATAAATTCAATTCAACCACCTTGACGCCGAATGCTTTGAGAACCTTGGACATTACACACCAGAATGACAAACCTCTGACGGCGGGAATTGTACCTTCTCCATGAAATAACGATCAAAAAGTTTTATTCCATCAAAGTATGCCATAACGTAATACTGTCAGGTGACATGGAGAGTGGTTATGAGAAGTGAAAAGCAGCGTTCAATGATCAGAAGTAATGTTTTTTACGGCGCTCTGTAGGAGACCACAAAGCACCATCACAACCCAAATCGCAAGAAAGTTCTTTAAAAAAAAAAACTCAGAGAACAGCCAAGGAAACAACGCCTGATGTTGTCATGTTTGAGGGTAATTTCTTTACCCACGACATGAAGAATCACCACCGAGAGACAGAAGGTAAGTTTAAATGATTTATAATAAATTGGAGGTAGGCGAAGCTTCTGCGGGGCTGGAGGGATCCGTGGGGGTCTGAGAGAGGAAGAGAGGTCAGAGTCTGGAGCAACGTGAGACAATGGAGAAATAAGAAGGCTTACCATTTCCTAGATGATCCGGTATTTTGTGGGGGTGGGGGGGTTAGTCAGACCTGGCTGGATGGAGAGACCGAGGAGCTGCAGGTTGATAGGTGGGTGACGGAGAGCTGGCGATCAGGGGCAGACGGCAGGACTGGAATGTGGCTGAAGGTTCCGGAGATATGGCAGAGAGTGGAGATGAACAGATAACTGGAAACTGGAGGAATCAGGAGGGCAGAGCAGGTTAACTACCAGAAGGGCAGGAACAGGCGGACGAACAAATTCTAAAATTGTTTTAAGAAGGTCAAAAGGAGGGCTAGAAACTACCCAAGACTGAGTATCATCTGGCAATGGTGAGATGTCCTGCTGCTCCTTAAATCCCCTGATCGCTGATGAGCTGATTTGGCACAGCTGGGCTCTCCAGACACACCCACCTGTAAACAACATTCAGCAGAGATGGGTATGCAGCACAGATCATGACAGATGTGAGGCTCCGTCTGATTAAAGCAACAGGAACGCCCAGCTGTTTCTGTGAAGATTTAGCATTTCTTGGTGTTTGAGCTCCAGATCCATGACTGTGGTTGGTCCAGTTCCACCTGTTCCTCACAAACAGATCAACAACCAGCTCTTTGTTTGGTTAGTAAAAGCAGGTAACCAGGAGATAACATCTGGATGTGTGTAGAACTGTTTATTAGACCCTTTACACCCCTCACTAGCAGACAAACACTTATTTGTTGTGTGTTTTGTTTTTCTTTTGCAATTCAGTTTGTTCCCAGACGCACGGAGACGTTGCTCACGCAGAAACCAGACCCAGTTCGGTTCCTCTTCTGTCGTTGTTTATTTGGGCCGAGGTCCAAACGCTCCTTGTGGTCAGCGTTCCAAACGTAATGTTCCGACTGGGGGGAGAAGGTGAGCTGTTAAGCAGATTTACAGTAGTAGCTTGTAGCCGTAGTTACGGAGGTGGAGTGTAAAGATAGCAGACAGCTTTAGCAGGATTCTCCGGGACTTTTCTAAAACACAAGTTGACCTAAAGCTTCCAGTTAAGACCAGATAAACCCAGAGCGAAGAACAGAACCTGGGCCGTGCCTTTCAGCTGCCTCGCTACTGCTGGAGGAGACACGTGGCTCTCTGCTGCCAACGGCAACGTGCTGTGCCATAAATCTGTGGTTCCCCACAGAGCCTGGTGTTAATGACCAGCTCATGGTTCATTTTCAGATTTTCTGTTGCAGCTTGATGAAATGGTTTGACAGGAATTCCTCACACTGTTGTCTGAAGATCTGGAGGTATCTTCATTGTAAAGGCTGCATAACTGGTACTGGCGCTTTGCAACAAAGAAAGTTGCCAGTTGAAATGCTGGCTGCAGCCTTTCTGTGAGGCATTAACATGTTCTCCTCATGCATGTGTGGTTTTGCTCCAGGTTCCTCGATTTCTTCCCATAAACCAAAACGTCGCATTAGGTAGAGACTCAAATGTGTGCCCACGTGTGAGTGGCTGCATGTCTCTGCGTGTCCTGGGAGTCCGCTGTGGAGACAGATACCGGCTTCCTGCTGAAGTGGTTTAGATAATGAAAGTCTCATCAGTCTTAGTTTCTGTGATGAGGTGGTGATGATGTCAGCAACACATCAGAAACTAAAGGAGCCAATTCAAAATTAAATGTCATCAGAGTTAAAATGTCTCTCGTTTGTTCTTTGATCATTTCTCATCAGAGAACAGGTGATGATGGATGACTTTGATGTTGATGTGGGAGTTTTTTTAAATAAACACACACACACACACACACACACACACACGCACTTAAGCTTGGGTTTTCTGGCAGCTCAACTACCGTATTTTCCGGACTAAGCCGCTACTTTTTCCCACGCTTTGAACCATGCGGCTTATAATGAGGTGCGGCTTTAGTCAACCAGAAAGGATGGGTGCTGGAAAGTCTAATGAAGGAATGGTTAAAGGAGCGCTACGGAAAGCACCCAGGAGGATTTTTTTCACAGTAAAACGGCGCTGCTTGTTTTCCCAGCTTCACCCCGGGATGACGACAGCAACATGGCCAGCGACGCTGACATCGCCACAGAAAAGGTGTGTGACGAAGCTCTTCTGAGGCTGTTTAACTCCGACGCTGAAGATGATGAGTTCAGTGGTTTCAGTGCGCAGGAGGACGATGAATAAACTAATCAGTGACTTTTCTGTTTTGTTTGATACTGATCAGTTCAGTTACGTTCAGTTAAACGACGTTTTCAATTCAGTAGATATCTGCGGCTTTTAGCCCGGTGCGCCTTGTATTGAGGTGCGCTCTATAGTCCGGAAATTACGGTACTTTGATCACATTAGGTAAACTGTGAGTGATCAAAGAGATAAACCACAGTGTTCCCACTAATTTAATCAGTTACGTGTGTGTGTGTGTGTGTGTGTGTGTGTGTGTGTGTGTGTGTGTGTGTGTGTGTGTGTGTGTGTGTGTGTGTGTGTGTGTGTGTGTGTGTGTGTGTGTGTGTGTTTTGTTTATCTCATCACACACTAGAAGGTCCAGAAACACAGTTCATACTCTTCATCCCTCCATCTGTCTGTCTGTGTGTCTATCATCCAAGCATGGATGTAGCAGTCCTGGCAATAGGAGCCACACACACCTGCAGCCTCCGCTCTAACTCCCCAGAGAGACTGAGGAGTGACATCCTCTTGAATTGGAACACTCCCCAGTCTCTGTTGACTGTCAGCGTGCTGCTGAGAGGAACGGAGCTGAGATGAGGATCCAACGCGGAGCAGGAAAACAGGCAGACAGGTGAGCACATTCAAAGGGTTTTAATACTGAAGCACGCTGGACAATGAAACAATGATCCGACACAGTACAAAGAACAGACAGGGTTTAAATACAGGAGGGTTGGGAGCTAAGGTGATTGGGAAACGAGAGGCAGGTGGGAGTAATCAACGAGACACAAGGCTGAACTAAACGGGGAGACATGACCGGGTGTGACAGTACCCCCCCCCTCAAGGGGCGGATCCCAGACGCCCACAGGAACGAGGAGCAGGGTGGGAGGAGGAGGCGACAACAGGCTCTTGGAGGCCGGCGTCTGAGGCAGAGGAGGAGACGACGAGCTCTGGGGGCCGGCGTCTGAGGCAGAGGAGGAGACGACGAGCACTGGAAGGCCGGCGCCTGCGGCAGATGAGGAGGCGACAGGCCCTTCGAGGCCGGCGCCTGCGGCAGATGAGGAGGCGACGGGCCCTTCGAGGCCGGCGCCTGCGGCAGATGAGGAGGCGACGGGCCCTTCGAGGCCGGCGCCTGCGGCAGATGAAGAGGCGACGGGCCCTTCGAGGCCGGCGCCTGCGGCAGAAGAGGAGCTCTGCAGGTTGGGCCGGCGACAAAGTCACTGCAGGCTGGACCGGCGACAAAGTCACTGCAGGCTGGACCGGCGACAAAGTCACTGCAGGCTGGGCCGGCGACAAAGTCACTGCAGGCTGGGCCGGCGACAAAGTCACTGCAGGCTGGGCCGGCGTTGCCCTCAAAACCACCATCGGAACCGGAGACCGTGGAGACGCCGGGCTGGATGGAGCGTCGGCCTCTTGAGTGCAAAGAGCATCCCCAGACGAGGCAGCGGCGATGTCATCGGACGAGCCGACTTCGGGGACGTCATCAGAGGAGGCGACGTCATCAGACGGGACGTCATCAGAGGAGGAGGCGACGTCATCAGACGGGACGTCATCAGAGGAGGAGGCGACGTCATCAGACGGGACGTCATCAGAGGAGGAGGCGACGTCATCAGAGGAGGAGGCGACGACTTCGGACACGTCGTCATCAGAGGAGGAGGCGACGACTTCGGACACGTCGTCATCAGAGGAGGAGGCGACGACTTCGGACACGTCGTCATCAGGGGCGACGACTTCGGACACGTCGTCATCAGGGGCGACGACTTCGGACACGTCGTCATCAGGGGCGACGACTTCGGACACGTCGTCATCAGAGGAGGAGGCGACGACTTCGGACACGTCGTCATCAGAGGAGGAGGCGACGACTTCGGACACGTCGTCATCAGAGGAGGAGGCGACGACTTCGGACACGTCGTCATCAGAGGAGGAGGCGACGACTTCGGACACGTCGTCATCAGAGGAGGAGGCGACGACTTCGGACACGTCGTCATCAGGGGCGACGACTTCGGACACGTCGTCATCAGGGGCGACGACTTCGGACACGTCGTCATCAGGGGCGACGACTTCGGACACGTCGTCATCAGAGGCGTCGACTTCAGAACACGAGGAAGAGGCGTCGACTTCAGAACACGAGGAAGAGGCGTCGACTTCAGAACACGAGGAAGAGGCGTCGACTTCAGAACACGAGGAAGAGGCGTCGACTTCAGAACACGAGGAAGAGGCGTCGACTTCAGAACACGAGGAAGAGGCGTCGGCCACAGGACTGGCAGGGGCGTCGGCCACAGGACTGGCAGGGGCGTCGGCCACAGAGCTCTGGACCGTCGACTTCTGGACCGTCGACTTCTGGACCGTCGACTTCTGGACCGTCGACTTCTGGACCGTCGACTTCTGGACCGTCGACTTCTGGACCGTCGACTTCTGGTCCGGGGGCGTCGACTGCTGGACCGCCGACTGCTGGACCGCCAACTGCTGGGGCCGACCCGTCCGCTTCGGGGCCAGAACCGGAACCGTCTGCTTCTGGGCCCATCCCTTCTGCTTCTGGGCCCTCTGGAGTGGAGGCGAGGCAGCTGCAGGAGGGGCTGCCTGGACAGGCTGGACTGGAAGTGGTGGAACTGGTAGGGCTGGAAGCCGTGAGAGCAGGGGGGACAGCCCGTTCAGCTGAAGCTCCTGGAGGTTGAGGGTTCGATGGAGCTGGGCCAGTTCAGCCCGGAGACCAGCGAGCTCCGCTGGGTGGACGGGCTCACTCCTCTCCTAGCGGTTCGGGGAGGATAGAGTGTCCAGGTGACTCTCCTGGAGGCTGACGAGCTGGCGGATCCGGTCAAGCTCCGCCTGGAGCTCCATCAGCTGGGCTGTGGGCGTGGTTCCTCCGCCTGCAGATGACGAAGGCGCTAGTTGGACCGGAGACGGGACTGCTGGTCTGACTGGGAGCGTGTCCAAGTTGGCGCACTGAGCCAGAACTGCAGCGAGCTCGCGGCTCCGTCCAGGGACCAGCCGCTGCGGTGGAGCCCGGCATGCCTCCCCACGCCGTGGGCCAACTCCCGGGGAGCACACAGCCAGGCGGGTGCCCACGATGCTGGAGCGATCCGGAAGCGGCTCCCGGTCCGACCCCTCGTCCGGTTCCGGGAGAGCAGCGAGGATTGCTGCGGCTGATGGCCGAGGACGGCGTTTTCGGCGAGGCAGAACTGAAGCAGGGGAAGGCGATGGAGAAGCTGGGTGGTGGCTCGGAGTGAGCCACTGAAGCAGGTGCTCCCACGGGAGAATCTCCTCGCTGGATCTCACAACGGGTTTGGGTCGGATCATTCTGTCAGCGCGCTGCTGAGAGGAACGGAGCTGAGATGAGGATCCAACGCGGAGCAGGAAAACAGGCAGACAGGTGAGCACATTCAAAGGGTTTTAATACTGAAGCACGCTGGACAATGAAACAATGATCCGACACAGTACAAAGAACAGACAGGGTTTAAATACAGGAGGGTTGGGAGCTAAGGTGATTGGGAAACGAGAGGCAGGTGGGAGTAATCAACGAGACACAAGGCTGAACTAAACGGGGAGACATGACCGGGTGTGACATTGAGAGGTGGCTGATGTTTTACTCTGATGCTCTCCAGCACCGACACTGTCAGACTCTTCTGGTTTTACAGCAACATGGATGTGATGTAAAATGTGGCCTTGGATCTCTTTACTGTTGCAGGATTTCA